AGGCTATACAGCATTTTGATTTTGAAGAAATAAAATAATTATAAAAATAATTTGAACACTACTATAAAAGAATTAACTGATATAACTGGTTTATATAATTAAATCTGATATTACTGTTATTTGGAACAATAAAATAATTTCTTTGATTACCCAACATTTACAATTATATACAGTATGTACTGTACATTAAGAAAAATCCATATTATATGCTATTTCATTATGAAGTGGAACAGAAATCAAATGAAATTGACATTAAGTCAGCATATTGTAAATGTTTTCATCTATTTAAAATGCTATTTTATTTTTGATTATTAATAGTCAGCAATTTTAAATTTTGTATAATAAAGTTTGCATTACAGTTTTGACAATTGATAATGTCAAAATTGTAATGTTAGTTTTATTAACTGCCATCAACATCTTTTGTAATACAAAACTTATTATACACAGAATAGGAAATATATCCTGATTAGGAAATCATCAATGTAAAATGTACTTTGAAACTTCAGATGATTGAAAGTGGAAAATATGGTTCTAGTGGTGTTAACATCTGTGGTTATGTGGTTAAAAGTTACCGGTTGTTTTTCAAAAATGGATCATCAAAATTGTGAGTCAGTGAGGGACAAGAAGGTCCAAAATTCATTCCCCAGTTAATATAAACCAATAAACATTGATGATTTCCTATTTGATATGTAATAATTTTGATATTACAAAGGATGTTGATGGCTGTTAATCAAACTAACAAACAACCAGACAGCAAATTCAAGAAAATTGTAATGCTTACTTCTGCAGCCATTTGATAACCATTGATAGTATGTTCTGATCCTCGCTCGTTACTTTTTCCCCAATGACAATGTATCTGATCCAAAATATATCTATTAACAGCTGGACCGCCTTCAAAATCTAAAAAATGCAAAACCAATATGATCGTTATAATATATCTTGGTGTATCATTTCTATCACAAATCTCACAGTTTTTGGTGCTGACGTATTCAACTGTCCATCCGTGGCCACTGTTGACTACCGTTTTAGAATATTTTTTATGGTAGCTCCATCTGATCTGGTTTTGGAAGAGCGATGCATCTGGTATGGCTAAGGATGGAACTATGTCCACTGGAGACTGTTTATTGCCAGATGCATTTGGATGTGTTTTGTACCAGTGATTAGGACCTAAAATAATGGTGTTAAAAATAAGTAATTAATTCAATAATGTTGGTTTATTAGTAAAATTTGAAGCGTTTTTTTAAGAAAAAATATAGTTATAAAGGATGGTTTGTATCAGCAACAACTTCATGAAGTTGTTGCTGATACAAACCATCCTTTATAAAGCATTGTTTTATGGATACATAGTAAGAAGCATATCATATGATAGAAAGAACTAATTTAATTATATAATATTAAATGATAAATATATCTCTTATTTATCATTATTAGTAATTCACATTTATTGATTATTTTCTAACAATTTATTTACATAATAGTAAACAATTACAAATTGTAAACATGGCATTCATCACAATTTTTATATAAATTTTTAATTCTGTACTATACAATTTATTTATATTGAAAGTGATACATGTACTAGGCAACCATTAGACAATATTTTTTTATATTGCTTCTATTAGAAAATAACCAGAATATTGACCGTTTCTATTCAAATCTATATACAAATGTTATAAATGAATTCTTCCAGAAGATCCATTCTTCTTATTAGTTATTAATCTTTTATACACAGGGAGTTGACAGTCTTTATATCGGTGGGAATGTCACTGATGTTAAACTCCACATACACGTGCAGTTTAATGGCACTAGAAATTATTTTGAACTTTATGAAAATGAAATATTTTTCTACTTAAAAAATCGGTAGAAAACCTTTCAACTAATAATTTTCAAATTTGTCTACACTTGAATTAATTCTAACAAATGGATAAAAGTCAATATACTGAAGGAATATTGACAGATGTGATGTATCATCGGTCCACTTCAGATCAATAAACATTAAATATTTTCGTAGCAAATATAACTTTTTAAATGTAAAGTTTTTATAAATGTAGTGTAATTAAACTTAAATGACGTCAGATTCCAGCCACAAAATAATGATTTTTCTGCAATTCCAAATAATAAAAATAAGTAATTTATTAATGAATTATCATCTTTTATTACTCATAAACTTATTTTATAGTTTAGTTTTAGATGATGATCTTATTGTTTCAAATAAAATATTTTTACTTTTCTAAGAATAAAACATAAAATAATAGTATATATAATTACATAACCGAAGATTGATCATCATAAGACCCTAGAGAGTAAGTAGCTCCTATAAAATATGTATTAAAAATTAATTATCTACTTTAAATGTTTAAAATACGACGTTTCGATGATGTAGCATTTTACTTTAAACAATTAATACAAATTCGAAGAAATTCTATATTACTGCTACGTAACTGAATATGTTGGTTTTTGTAGCATTTACATAGTTTTCTGCTTGGGGCCTTTCTGTTTCTACCCTAAATAGAAATACAGTAATTATGCATTAAATAAAATATTAAGCGCCAACTAATTTCCGACATTTTTAAGTCCATCATATGTTAATTCCCTATTGCATTTAGATGTGTCCATACTTATTCATAAAAATATTATGACTCATTTCATATTAATGGAGTATAAAAATGTATCTGTGTTAATAAATACCCATAAAATCTACCGGTTTACGTGTCAAAGCTAAAATTGTTTACTAGTTTTATATGCCAACAGCAAAACTAGAAAACTTCATACCAGATTAATTTTTAATACATTCTTATAAATAAAAGATCAGAATAATTGTTGATCAATTCATCTTTGCATGCAAATTGTAGAATTAATACTACAAGAATACTAAGCAACGCGTTACTTGCGGACATCGCCTGGTTCCTCGTATTTCCAATTTGTAAGAAGTTTCTGGTAACGAGTTAAAAACTTCCTGTTTGCAACTACTTTTTTAATTGCTGATCCCATTGAAAAGTTGCTATTACGATCTGATTTTAATGAAAATTTAAGAAGTAAATATAATATTTTTTTCGTCAAAAATATAATTGTAGGTAGACGTTTTCGAATATTTCACTAAATAAATCTTACCATTAATTAACAAACCCAAAACGCTGTTTGAACTTTAAAACTACGAACCAGAAATCGAAAAAATGTTTTAAATTCATTAGAATGATTTTAAATAATTGCATAAAATTTCTTTGTAATTTTTTCAATGCTTTATAATATTAATTTTGAATTATATATTTAGTGACAAATAAATAGATTAATATATACACAATTTAATTTCAATATTATGCATAGTAAATAGTTACGCTATTTTTACTATCACGATTTATTTTCATTAGGTTACTACTATAATAACAAATCTCTACGTAAATCTTACGTAATAAAAGACTTACCTATCGAATTATGTAAGGGGGCGCTTTTTTTTATGTTTTGCCGGACGGTTCTCATGATTGCTCACAACGTAAATTGTGGTCTAAACCTTCGCTACACTTAAATTGATTTAAAATAAAATTTAGCTGCGACTGATGATGAAACTAATTTTTTTATACTTTCAATTACTATTTCTGTTTTCAAACCAAACACGTAAATAACATAGCAACGGTATTAACTGTCAATAAATTGCGCTTGGCCGGCATCGCGTGGTAACCGGATTGGCAAACTTACCGTTATTTACACCGTAACCCCATTGGGTTATCATGGGTTGGACAACGTTTCTGTTCTGGAGTACGGCCAGACATGTTCCCATCGTGTTCCTCTTTAATTCATTTTCTCTTTCTATTATCTCACCTCTGATCTTTCCCGAATAACTAACATCTTTGGTCGAGCATGCGCTTTAAACACTTTCACCCTTCTTCCGGTAAACTTTAATGACGTAATTGTTGGGGTTGCTGATCACTTCTAATCAACAGGTTGTTATGGCAACCGATCTAAAGAACGGCATCGAGTATCAGTACGAATCCCGACTGTGATTGCATGCATTTAATGCGATCGATACCGCTTGTGGTTGCTTTAATTTTTAAATTTGCGGTTCGATTCGTATATCGGAAACAGGATGAACATCGTACCTTTTATGGTCTAACGAATGGCTTTACGTCATTCCGGTTCCGGTTAGTTTTATTCCTATTTTATAGGTAACTTTGCATGGTGGCTTTTTAAGTTTCGAAAATTTTCTGTCGTTTTCTTTTCTTTTATATTTAGTCCACGTTTCGTCTGCTTAAAAAATTTGTTTATTAAGAATATTGTCCAAAACATGTGTTATTATTTGCATTAATTGTGACATTATTTATAGGTCTATATACAGTAAAACCTGTATAAATCGGAATCGCACGGTACCGGATACTTTTTCCGTTTTGAACAGGCTACACTATACACATATTATAAGTAGCCTATATAGAATCTTAATTTCAATAGAGTTTATGACTTTTCTCCTGATTTTAGTAAATATTTATAGCTTATTTTTTACAATTACGTATATTGTTTATGGAATAAATTAGCTCTGCAATATATTTGGCTGTTTGTTTGTTTTCTCTAAATGCAATGTTAACTTGAATTACTGCATAATTTAAACGATTTTTACTATTTTATTCTGTTAACTGCGTTATTATGACATATAATAATAAAAAACATTATAAACATTTCAATCCACAATTGATCAATTATAGAATAAGCCTATAAATAATCTTAATTCTAGTCTTGCCAAGTTCAATGATCCTTTGCAAAATGAATATTATATTACTCAAATCATAATGTATGAAATCGAAATAAAGATCCCCTTTTCCACGATCTAACAGGTTCTTGGAAATCCGTCGCTAAACGAGCCGTCGTAAATCGAACCCTACTCTTCCGTAGATTTAGCTGTTGTAAACTCGGTATCGTAGTCAGTATCGTAGACACAGTGTGATGAATTGAAGTTCTATTCCTAGAAATAAACTTTGAACTATGTAATATTTTATCGACATAGCGCCAAGAAAAAAAACATACCATATTTAAAATACTTGGCACATATGGCATATTGTATTAGGCTGAAAACGCTTGTGTTTTGTTTAATAAACATTTCTCAGCAACAGAAGGTGGTATCGATAGTTCATTTTGTAAAACAAGAGTTAATAAAGTGAGTCGTCGTAAGACATGGGGTACTACAAATAGAACATTGGCATTTTTAAGTCCATTTGATGATATTTACGGGATCATGTTTGATGGGATAAAGCAAGCAACACGAATGCAATCTGCCTCCAGGAGGACTTTTTTGTGAGAAACAGGCGTAAAAGAAAGCCCAGAAAACTCCGCCAGCCCTCCAGTGAAAACTCGAATGTTTTATCCACTTGGCAACTATTGAGCCATTTACTGGTTCATAAGTTTTATTGTTCATTATGTAAAACAAGTTAGTTTATTTTGGGATTCGTATAAATATTGTAAGGCTCCGCACTTCAATAGACTTTATATTACAACAGTTTTTGGTTTATATATGTGAAAAAATTGATATGTTTACAACAAATTCTAAATAATTCTTCTTAAAAATGAAATGGGTGACTTTAAATTAACTTTAAATATTTTGATATCATTATTAATTAAGCAATTGATTTGGTTTATCGCGTTGTATGAACTTGTTTATTATTTTATTAAGATCCTCGGAACGTCACGTTAAGCATTATTATTATTGGAAATGATGGAACGTAATGGTATATCGTGTGTATTGAAAGTATAATTTTCGAGATTTGTAGTTATAAATTTATATTATTATTGGACTTCATAAATAAGCGAACTTGAATACTATTTCAAATCTAATTATGGTTTTCGTAATATAAATGTCCTTACCAATCTATAAAAGTGAGATAAATATTAATTAAACATTTATAATGTTTACAAAAATTTAAACATTAAAATCTTTTTAAGGATCTTCGTGACCCTTAAAAATTCTATAAACCTAGTTTAAAGGCTTAATTTATTAAAGAAAAAACACTGTAAAGCTTAAATATATTTAAAAAATCGTCATAATATCGATTTTTAGTAATTTATTGGTATTTTTTCTTGATATTTATTACCATATAAACTGTGTAACCTTGTGCTTTTAATTATTTGTAGTTAGTAGTAGTTTTTTTTAGAAAAAAGTTTTATAGATCCTTCAGAATGAAATATGAAAATCGATGAAAAATTTCTGTAATGTGAGTCTTACACACGCAATTCTTTACTATTCTATTGTTACTATTCATTTTTATATTCAAATATAATTTTATAAAACTGGTCCATCATTAACAAAATTATTTTATATAAACAATTTTCTTTCACATTAAATCTAGACACATATATGTATATAAAAAATGTTTACAAAAGTTATTTGAAAATTAATAATTCCAAAAATTAACATTAAAGTATTCATACCCCATTATTGAAAATTCTGATTAAGTTAATTAAGAGGTTTCAGCGAAATTTTTATAATTTTTCACTTTTATTCTCTAAAATATGCTCTTAAATAAATATACATTATTTGCTTGTAATATATAAATTTACATTATGCTTTGTTCTATCGTTTTTATTAATTGTTAGCATAATGAAAACGCGTGTTTCTGAAATCCATTCTGGAAACATTTGAAATAAGGCGTTTTATTTTAAATATAAAATTCAAAATTTATGTAAACAAGTTATTAAACGCTTTCTCTCAATTCGACCCGTTTCCTTTGTAAAATACGCAACTACTTTGCGTGACGAAATCGATAACAATAAAGTTGTCACTATCTGAATTCAAATAACACGCTTTTTTATATACTGTATTTGATAAGTTAGCGCATAATGATGTATAGTAACCGAGGTAACTTTGTGACGTTACACTAGAATTTTGAATATGGCGGGTTTATATCCATTCCGAAATTTATTTGCGGGTTCGATACCGATAGCCTGTACAGTGATGTTACCTGTGCTGTTATTTGTTATCTTGGACGCTAAAGCTGTACAGTACAAGACGCGTACTGTATTTTTCTCTAGTTGCGTTTCTTTGTGATAAGTTAACGAAGAAATCCAATTACACATTCAAATTATTCTTGCTTGTAATTGTCAATAAATACAACAAATTTTGATTAATTGGTTTAGCTGGTTTAAGTTACAGAAGTAAATTTCGTAGAGTTGAGAGGTTTCTTTGTGAGAGTGTACGAATCTGATGAAAGCGTTGGGAGTAAAGTCGCAGAATTTTGAGATGCAGACAGCAAACTAAAACATCCCGTATAAACGGAGATTTAACCTAGAAGATTAAAGATGGTAATTGTGTAGTTGTAATTTTTGAATAGAAGTGAAAAAAATGGTAATTAGCGTGTAAATGCAATGTAGTCTGTTGGAAAATATTAGCAGTGGCCCAAAGAAAAATATGAGATCGGGTCAAAGAAATCCACCTCTTCAAAGAGGAAAATGGAGGATTTTTGTTATTACAGAAATAGCTGACTTTCTGTGTTGATTATTTCATTTTATTGCTCTCATCTTGAAAAATGGTTTTATTTATTTGTTTATTTTATATATACAACAGAAAGTGTCACTAGGACAAATGATCTCTCTCAAATTACAAACAAAAACAATTTTAATAAAGACCCTTAAAAGCAATAATAAAAAATACACATATAAAAAACAAATGCACGGAAAATAACTAATAACGAGCAATTATTTATTGTGACATGGTCACAATGACGGACTGCAATTTTTAATTTTTTAAATATATGTTCTCCGCCTCAAATTAGTACTGTAGTGGCTTGCCCTGTATAGCATACTTTCCCTTTAACAATAGCTTGTCATCTATCTCAGTGTTCCACAACCGGTGTGCCATCATAAGGTGAAAGGTATGACGTGAACTTTTACATATTCTATTAATTTCAAGTTTTATTTATATATTTTTATCACAGTCATTGTCTTTCTTATGCTTGTATTTCATTCACTGGTGAAATAAAATGATGTTAAAGCAATAAACACATATGTCATCCCACTACTCACTTATTCTTTAGGACTTATACATTGGACTCACACAGATCTCGAGCAACTCCAAATGAAAACAAGAACAACACTTACTAAGCATAAACAACATCATCCAAAATCTGTCATAGAAAGATTAACCCTTCCACGTAAAGATGGAGGACGTGGCCTGATCGACATAGTTAACCTCCACTACAAACAAATAC